AAGATCTTGACCCCTTCTCTCATTGCAGACCAAGCTATGAGAAGGAAACATAGTTCTGTCTACAAAGCAATGGGTTTTTCTTTTTGCACGCAACACCCTCTCTCCTGGGCTCCTGGAGGGTACCCTGTGGTTTATCTATCGTTACTGTGAGTATCCGGAAAGGAATTCAGGTCTGTTAAAAGCCTGGGATTTTAGAGCATGGACAATCGTAAAGCTAAGCCCTCCAGATAAAGTCAGGCCTCCTCTTCTGTGTGACCAGTGATGTGAGAACCCCACAAGAAGAGGCAGAGCTTGGCAAATAGTTTCCCACATATACAGTGTTTAGAATAACTCCCATCTGAGCTGTTTTATTTATCACTTAGAAAAGGAGAGGGCATTTGTTCTTTGGATTTCTGGAAAGTAGAACGTTTTCATTCTGTATGCGCTTACTACCAGTTATGATTTTGATGGGTTATGAATGTTATCTTCTATTATTATATTACAAACATTTGGCTCTATTCTTCCAGTGAATGTGGTAAGACACAAAACACTTGCTAAATTATATACTTAGAATTCTGGCCAGGAAAGGCATTTATTCCAAGAGATAATCGTAAAATTCTCTTTAAAAATTACAGAAAAGGTGCTAATCAAGATCCCCTTTAGCTGATCAAACTCCTTCAGGTCAACTGTGGAAGAGAACAACAGCTTTAGGTCCTACAGAAACATCACCAGGGACCAGCATGGTGTAGCAGGTAGAGCTCCCCGCTGCTATGCCAGCGTCCCGCATGAGGACCAGTTCATGTCCCAAATGCTCCATTTGCAATTCAGCTCCTGGCTAATGACCTGAGAAGGCAGCAGAAGATGGCCCCAGTTCTTGGGCCCCTGCATGGGAAACCTGGATGAAGCTCTGACTCCTGGTTTTGGCCTGACTCAGTCCTAGCCATTGAAGCGATTTAGAGTGAACCAGCAGATAGAAGATTGATCTCTCTCTCTCTCTCTCTTTTTCTCCCTTTCTCTCTCTGTTTTCCTTCTCTCTCTGTAACTATGACTTTCAAATAAATAAATAAATAAATAAAAATCTTTAAAAAAAGAAAAATAAGGGTTCCATAATCTCAAAAAGTTGGACAAGTTTCAATTTAAAACATGGTACATGGCAGAGAAGTTTATATTCATGTAGTCCAAAATGTAAAACAAAACACAAATATTTTCACATCTTCCCCCTCCCCAGTATCTTCGATAGCTAATGCCATTTGTTATTCAGGTCAAACTGCTGAATATCGTGACTGGTAAACCTACCATGAAGAAACAATGACAGCTAGTTCTGTCAGGCTCTTTGAGTTACCTGGTAAGACAGGACATTGAGCAAACATCTACAGATATCAACTGTGCACAGTAGCTCAGAGAACGGACTTCAGAGTCAGGCAATCCCTGGAGTTAAACCCTATTCCACCACTCACTATGCATGTCCTTGGACACCCACGACTTAACCTCAAAGGAGGGGTGCTTGGCCAAGCAGTTAAACCACCAGTTGGGATGTACACTTCCCATATTAGAGTGCCTGGGTTCAAGTCCAACCTCCCCTCCAAATTCCGGCTTCCTGCACCCTGGGAAGCAACAAGTGATTGCCCAAATAAATGGAGTTCCTGCTACATAAGAGAGAGACCTGGATTGAGTCCCAGGATCCCAACTTCAGCCTGGCCCAGTCCTGGCTATTGACGGCATTTGGGGAGTGAATCAGGAAATGGAAATGTGCTCACTCTGTCCCACATGCACTCTGTGTGTGTGTGTGTGTGTGTGTGTGTGTCCGATATATATATAAATACATTCCAAAAACTTAACATTCTGTGCACTGTTTCATACCTGAAAAAATAGGATCCAAATAGAAAGTACATAGAGTTTCTATTAAGATTAAATGTGATAAATGTATATTCTCACAAGAAAATATTTTACAATTGTCAATATAAGTGATTACAGCCATATCCAACAACATAAGTGAATCTTGGCACTTTAATAGTGAATGAAAAAGGAAGTTCTAAAAGATAATTTTTTTTGACAGGCAGAGTTAGTGAGAGAGAGAGAGAAAGAAAGGTCTTCCTTTTCCATTGGTTCACCCCCCAGTGACTGCTGCGGCTGGTGCACTGCGCCGATCCAAAGCCAGGAGCCAGGTGCTTCCTCCTGGTCTCCTATGCGGGTGCAGGGCCCAAGGACTTTGGCCATCCTCCACTGCCTTCCTGGACCACAGCAGAGAGCTGGACTGAAAGAGGAGCAACTGGGACAGAATCCAGAGCCCCAACTGGGACTAGAACTTAGGGTTTCGGCGCCGCAGGTGGAGGATTAGCCAAGTGAGCTGTGGCGCCGGCCCTAAAAGATAATTTTAAGCATGATTACCTTTTAAATAAAGTTGAAAACTAAGATTAAAAGATTCTTTCCAATAAAGGGAAAGCAAGAAAACCATGAATATGGAGTTCAGGGAATATGTTTGCATTAGGAGAGAGAAACAGGAGATGGGACAGGGAACATCACAGTTAGTTGTACGTTACTGTCAGGATCCCACCATTTGTTTATGGTAGGGGATTCTAATGTGCTTATTACATTATTTGAAAATTGTGAAAATAGAGTGGGATATACAAGCAGTTTAACAAATAGCAATCCTGAAAATGTTTCTGGGGAAAAGATATATATTTGAAGAAGAGAAAATATCAAAAGGCATGCCAGAGTATCTATGGCACTTTCAAAATAAAAAAATTCCATGATGATTTTTAGATATGAATATGCACTTTGTTGATGCTGATTTAGGTGTGGCGACTATTCCCCTAGTGGCTAGAAAGTGTTAGTGCAACTTCAGCAAAAGGCAAGGATGGTAGGAAACACCTACTGATGCGGTAGCCTAGAGACTGTTGGCTCTCATACTTACTTTATGAGTCTCTGTCTCTCCATCTCTTAAGTCCTTTCACATTTGTTACTAGGATCTAGCTGAAAACAATGTTGATGGCAGTGTACAAAGCCAGAGCAATAAGGCTCACGTCCTTTGGAAGTAACAAAATTAATGTGTAATTGGCTATGCTTCCGTATATAATAAGAGCGAATATTTCTTTTAAAGAAGTGGATTCAAATATCTATGAATGACATAGGTTGTTAGGTAGGTAGGTAGTCAAGTATTTGTAATAACAAACCTTCCATTGTTGTTTCCAAATATTATGCAACAGTCCTGAGCTTATAATGTTGAAAAATTTCTATTATTTTCTTTAAAACATGTATTTTAATTTTATTTGAAAGGCAAAGAGACAGAGAACGTTCTTCTATCCTCTGGTTCACTATCCAAATGCCTACAGCAGCCAGTGCAGGGCCAGGTTGAAGCGGGGAGCCAGCAACTCCATCCAAGTCTGGTGCTGGCAGAGACCCAGGTATTTGAGCCATCATCCGCTGCCTTCCCAGGTGTGCATTACCAGGAATCTGGATCAGAAGCAGAGCTGGAACTCGAGTCAGGTGCTCCAAAATGGGATGTGGCCATCCCAAGTGGATCTCAGCCACTGTATCAAACATCAACAGTCAACCCCAAGGTTTCTATCCTTTACAATTGCACCACTACAAAAAGTAGAAATAATGGTTCACACATGCAAACTCACATCCTGTGAAAAAAATACTATTAAGAAACCCATTTTATAGAGGATGAAATCGAGGTACCAAGGAATTAGGCAGAAAAACATGCTCAAGGGTCCCACGGCTGGGCTGAAACCTGATGTATGGCAGTGCTGAGGCCATTACCCAATTCACTACAGCTACAACAGAAGTGCAACACAAGGAAATAGATTTCTCAACACCTGCCGCACTAATTGTCAGAACTCTAAAGAGTGTAAACAAAGCACTTGCTGAGCAGAGAGAACAGGGGCAAATATCTGAAGAATGCATCTCTGTGCAGTGGGGGTGAAGGAGGGGCAAGCGAAGATGAAATAGAAAATCATCTGCATTTTAAATTATAAACACTAAAACCCGTTTGCCTTGGCAAGACACTTGTATTAATTTTCAATTAAATGGCAGAAAAGATGATTTTCAGGCAAAACAATTTCTAGGTGTGTAACACAGATGGCTGACTGGCAAGCAATGAGTTCTCACCCTGGAAGGTGCTTTCTCTTGGGTTACACAGGTCGGCAAGGTAAGTCTGTCTGGGAGAGGTCAGGTGAACCACACGAGACCAAGTTCTCTGACAGACTGCAAGATGACGGATGGTTAGGATGGCATGAATAAAACCTGGTCCTAAGGAGGCTCTGAGAGGAACTGGTTGCTTGGTCCCAAGAAGTTCTTTCCTTCCTGGTCGTCCTCTGCAAGGCCTTGTGTGCTAGGAGGTTTCTTGCCGCCAAATTTATATTTCACAACTCCAAAGCCTTAGGTGGACATCAATCAGAGCTCAAATTTTACTCACTGCATTTATAGGAGGATTCAGCAGTAATAGCATAGTTCCTGGTGGACATACAGTGAACCCAAATAGAGTGGTGCTGCTAAAGCTGGCATTACTCAGTAATGAAATACGCCCATAACGGAGGAATCTCTCTTGCTTTCTTTCTCTCCATATATAGTTCACCCTTTCGTATGTAAAAATTGTGCTTCCTTTAACATTAATGGCCTTCAATTAAACCTGTGCTTTAATCATGTTAATTTATGCAAGTGTTTTCAGCCGAGTTATTCATACTACATCTAGGTCTATCTTTCCGAGTCCCTAGTAAGCCTTAGTTTTTGCTGATCCACTTTTTAATTTAGCAAAGTCTTTCCTCCATAGGCATTGTAGAAAACACAGGAGCAGAGATATTTCCCCTATACAATGTGTATTTGATATGCTTAACGTTCATGTTTACACACACAGAGACGTTGGCATATAAGGAATGTAGAGGGTGTATAAATTCAAAGAAACATTTAAGTGCACAGTGATACATAGATACACGGGTATAATACTTTATGTACTTGATAAATATTTCATCCACATCATAAAGAAAGCTTTTTATCAACTTTGATTGTTTTTTTATTACCTTAAAGTATTGCAGTTGTTTCTCAGCATTCATTGTTCCTTCCTTTTCTTGTCTCAGACAGGAATTGAAGATGAAAAGCTCTGTATCTCTTAGCCACCCTTTCAGTTCTTTGATCCTGACCTCCAGCTGCCTTACCAGGCTTCCGCTTTCAGGAGAGAGCAGGTCACGTGGGCCCGACCCACTGTGCCCTGCCATTGTGTCCTGGATCTTCTCTCCGAGGGTTTTCTAATGTAGCAGATTTAAAACAACAAAACAAAAAAACACAACAACAAGAAACAAAAACATACATCAGCTTAGGTAACAAATATGCATCACATTTTGGCTGGTAACAAGAGCCACCTGGAAGAGTCCAGCTGTCCCTGCCACCTCTCAACTGACATTCAGTTCAGATTAGCTCATTGTTCCATTTGGGATTTGAGTTCTTGGATAGGGCATGTTGTTCTGACTACCAGTGCAGGCTCAAGAAGATCTCATTCATAACAGAAAGGAAATTTGGCTCAAGAGTTCACCGTGGTCACAGATAAAAACTCATTTGAATTCTCATGACAAGAGTTTATAGAGAAAAATTCTCTGCATAGAATGTTCAGGAGATACAAGTCTGAGTTTAATCAATATACTAAAAGGAGTAAGAGGAGACTGCGCATGCAGAATTAAATTCCATTTTTTCTTGTTCTGTGAAGTGTACAAGTCCCCCAATTCTATGACTGAGGGCTTTTAAGAAGTAGCTTCTTGGTGCTGGTTGCTGACCCTCCTTGGTTTGGAAACTGCTCAAGCCCACAATTCTCCCCATTCTGAATTTGTGGATGCTACACTTCCTAGTATATGTTTTAAAATAATCCTCAGTTCACTATGCTCGAAGCCTACTTAGCTTAACCATTATGGCATGAAGCTGCCATCAGGCTGTTTGTTTGCTTGCTTGCTTGCTTGTTTTTGGTGGAAAAACACTCTCCTCTTTGGAGGATCAATAGGATTTAATCTATAATGATGAATTAAACCTACAAAAATAAGCTTTAAAACACAAATAAAATTAAGTCAACAAACATTCATCTGCTGTGTAGTGTTCTGTAAATAGTATCTTTAGGAGACTGTAACAGAAAAATAGCCTCTCTTGGCAACACCCTTGTATTTTCATGGTGCAAATATTGATAATTTGAAGACCCTCAGTGGAATCCAGATTTAGCTATTGTTTTTATGCTGTAACAAAAGTAGCAGCAGGAGGTGAAATCAATGCCCTTGGAGGGTAGGGTCACAAAAAAGAATTTATTGCCACTTTTTTGTTCTGGAACAGTTTGCAATCATAAATTCTTCATAAACAGAATACTTCAGAGAATGGTCCGTCTTCATAAATATACGACAGAGGACATCAATTTCATTTAATTCACAATTTGTGTCAGCACAGCAGATGCCAATGCCTGCCTTGATAGGGTTGTTTAATATGCAATTGAGACAGAGTAATATGCAGCACAGGGGACAAAATTTCACAGATTAAACTGTACGCACCACTGACATTTCATTCTAATGTATTTCCATTCCACACTGTTCACCTTAGATGAAAGTAATATTAAAAACCATATCCCTCTATTTTACTATTGTTAGAAGTTAAAATCCTTGTCTTTAATTTTTTTCATGCCAATTAAAATGTAATCATGCCAATTAAAACAGTATGCCTGGTGGTGTTAATGTGGCACAGGTTTTGTTAAAATCTTCCCTCCACCACACTCTCTCCCCAAATCACTACAAAATCGCATATTGCATTTGAATGATATTTTTGTCAGAATGACAACCATTTTAAGGTACCTGATTAATAAAGGATCGCTAAATATTGTTTCTTTTTTTCAACAAAATATTAATTTAAAATTTCTGTTGAGGAGGCAATATACATATTTTAACTAATTTCTAACTAAAAATATCACTATTATTTACTTATCAAGTAAGCAAGAGTTACTAAAATGCACTGTTAACAGATTATCACTTTATCAAGCACATAAAGTTGCACATAGAACTCTTATGTCTTCAGTAAACAACCTTTTAAATGTCATACACTAATCACATTGCTCCTTTCTGAAATCAATGAATTCTGTAGAATTTAGTAGGTTCTGAATTACTATATTATGAAGTGAAAGACATTAATTATTATCAGAAAGCAATAGTTCAATAGATTAAAAACTTTTAATGCTTTAAGTTACTTCGCACACTGTACATTGCAGAGAATTTACATGAGATGCAAGGACTTAACCTTGCAGTGTTTTAATCACCTAGATTAAGCCTAGCATACATTGAACACTGGCATCCCTCCAAGTCATCAAGGTAGATGAGGAGCTTTTTATTAAAAATATTTTGGAGTATTATTTCCTTTTTTTAAAAAAGTTTTAAAATGCAGAAAAACAGAAGGCATGCAAAATTAGGCTCCAAACTGACACCACCCATACTTAGCTGTTATAATTAATCATTTAGATAATTGACAAATTTAGCTTACCCTTGATTTGAAGTGAAGGCAATTTAGGAGAGAAGCTGATGAAAAAATACAGCTTAACTTCTCTCTCAGCTGTCTTCCCACAAAAGGACAGTCCTGTCTCCCGTACCATGCCCTCCTGGTCTCTGGGTAACAGAGGCTCTATATTGCCTTTTTGCCAGGTTCTTGCAACTCAGTCTTTGGCTGAGACCCAGCCCATCATTGCGTGAAATGAATTACATGAAACTTTTTTTTTTTTTTGGCTTTTGTAAAAAGTGAGCTGGAAATTGAGGCACAAAACAGAGGCTGATTTAATTCTGCAATTCAGATGGGGTCAAATTTGCATCTTTGTTTTGGTGGCTTTAGTGTGATTTGAAAGCTGTAGTGACAACTCCACTTTTCATCTTAAGGGTACAGTAAATAGTTAAACAGAGGATGTCTCTAACATGTACCTTCAGAATAAATTCTATTAACATTCATTCAAGCATGACAGTCAGTGTATATCAGATATACTGTATTATAGTTGACTTGGTGCATTCCCATAATACATGGCATATTTTACTTACTTTTTATGTATTAAAGAACCAAAATTATTAAAATCTGAGAAGAGACAAGCTCAGAATAAAAAAAAAATCAACAGAAGAGGAAAAGCAGTGTTTTCCCCATAATAGCATGAATAGCTTGTTTGAAATGTAGGTAGTGAATTGAAAGAGATATTTGTGCCTCAAATTAGAAATCAGACAGATAGAGTACTCCACTACACAAAAAATGTACATATAACCTACAAACAGTAATAAAAATGCAAATACCCCAAGCAGTTCCCATTTTTCATTAATTGAATCCACTTTTTCAAGGAGATCATTTGGTAGTAAAACGCCACCTTTCTTCAAAGCTTCAACCTTACTCAGCAGCTCCGTCTTTTTCAGGTGCCTGATGGACATTTCCACACTGTATCGCTGCCATGGAAAGAAAAAGAGGTGGTATTAGGGAGAGAGGTGCTCTTAGAAAAGTCTTTGAGCACAGAGTTTGTTTTGTTTAGAAATGTTAAAAAGTTTTGATTCCCATACAAATGTGCAGGGAGAGTAAACTTAAGTACCTTGAGTACTTGAGGAATACTGTTGAAAATAGTGAAAAAATACATATTATACCCCCATGCACAAATATCTAAGTTACTGAATGTAATTGACTAAGATTTATGTCTTTTTAAACTCAAGTTTTACATACCCATTTGATCTTTAAAGTATTTCTTATGGGAAAAATACCAGTTCTGGGAGGGTTTAGTATATAGCAAACTTTGGTCAATATTTGGTTCCATGGAGTATTGCCCACTTCTTATCTATGCCCCCAAAGGACCAGTCTCAAAGTGGTACAATTAAAACTATCTGTAAAGATTCTATGGCTTCCTCTTTAACCTACGAGTTCCCTGAATCCTCAGTTAACGTTTTGCTTTATTTTTCTATCACTTAAAAATGTTTGTGGACTTAGAGAAGAGGTACATAGAGAAGCGAAGCCAAACCAAACCAAACCAAACCAAACCAAACCAAACCAATGCTCTGGGAATGGTTACAAATCAATATCCCCATACTGAAGATTACAAGGCTTCCCTATGCATCACAGTTGATTACAAAACCCTCTCCCCAATATATATTATATCCTTAAAAAACTGCAAAGTGAACCTCTCCAAAAGATGTTTTGTTGGAGATAATGTGCTATATAATATGACAGTTACTATGGTGATTCTCTCCAAATGACTCTATTTAGATGACTTCATAGTTAGCGGGCTATAAATGACTGAGGCTTCATTTTTTTAACAAGAAATTACATGGAAAAATACCTCTGAGTAGAAAAACTAGATTTTGGTTAAAATATTAAATATATTTTAGCACATTTTCAAAAATTCAGTAGCAATTCCAAACTCTTTCTTCTTAGGGACCAAAATTGGGTCACTGAGCTCTATGGTATCAATGTTCTTTTGCCCCAAATGAACAAGGTTGTACCAAGGTAAGTATTCTTATCACATATGATAAGAAAAGCTTTTGTCTGAAAGTAGAAGTCAGCAAATTCAAAACATACCCAAACACTTGAGTGGGTTTTTATTCCCCTCGAAAACAGGATTTTGTATAAGACTCCAAACTAAAAGACAATTGGAAGCAGCTTCGAGGAAAAGAAGGTGTGAAATGACTGTTTCAGTTAATAGATCTTCAGCCTTCGCCTGCATGTGTTTGCATACTTTTAGTTTCATATTTTAATCTTTCATTTACACTAAACATGCACATCATTTGTATTATGTAAACTTCTCCAAATGTTAGTCATTTGTGGATCACAGAACAAAATGTTTTAAATGAGGTGATTTAAAGCATTTCATATTATTAATGAATGTTGATCAGGGTGTCAGAGTATCCAAAATTACATGAATATGCATAGTGAAGAAAATCAAGGGTTGCTTTAGAGCGCTTTCAGAATTTGGCCTGTGATACATGGGAAACTCTGATTGCGTTTTCTGATGACAGGCAATTACCAGGACCACGTTACTCCAACACTTAGGAAATACACTGTCCACTCAAGGTTTCTGGACTCAACACTCAACAAGTATTCTGGAAAACTAGACAGTGTTGTGTCAGAGTGATTATTGGAGAGGGCAATCTGCTTCATATTACCAAATTTCCATGTAAAGATGATGTAGTAGACAAAGGTTTACATAATTAATTTGGTAAGACTGACATAATGTTGGGGAACCAGTGTATCACGCAGGCAGAAGAGCCTCACTCAGATCTGTGACTTCTGCCATATCTCTTCATCAACAGAAGAGTCTCTGGAATGTTCTACCTGGAAGGGGCTCCTACCAACTTGTGACAGGACCATTTTCCCTCTTCACCCCAGTTTTCAACAGCTCCTACACAGCAGATCAGTCAAAAAGAGAACAATTTAGATGTGTCCCATGAAAATGATAGTCTTGTGATAACAAAAATATAGAAGGCAATTAATTGAACTTTAGATATAATAATTCTCTTTGTGAAACCTAGTATAAAATGGTTGTTACATTCTACAAATCTGGCTTTTATGTCTGCTCCCTGTCTTTGCCACCGTGCAACCTACTGTATAAACAGGCTGATGAGCGATGTGATTGATGGACAATGCCTTCAAACTATAAAAGCTAAGAGACTCCAGTTAATTATTAGAAGTATTGGTATGCGAATGAAAGGCACTAGATTGTCAAGTAATTTAAGGTAAAAAATATCTACTTTCATTTTTGAGTCACTCTGAAGGTTGATTCTGATCTGATTTAAGACCTCAAACTGCATGTGTAATAATGCCAGGACAGTTGTATGTTTTTGATGCCAGTCTATTTTCGCTCCTCTCTAACATCTTTTCAGAAGCACTAGATGGGAAGAATCCACCACCAGCTCTATCAGTTCTCAGTCATCCCATCAAGTAGGGCTACTTTATCCTGTGGTGAGAAGATAATTTAATCTTCATATTCATTCTGTCCACAGCGGTAAGTGAGCAGAGGCTGCCCTATTGTGTCCTGTAGTCTGGGGATGTTATGATATAGACTACTCATCAATAGCCAAAAACGAGATTAGCAAAGTTAAAGTCAGATGGCTTTTCTTGAGTGCTAAGGTAAATAAGCATCCAGTATTTAATTTCCCCACAGCACCTGCTGTGGGCCTCTCTGTCTAGTCAAAAATAAAATATACTCCATTGAAAGGGCATATTTACATTATTAAGTGTATTTGCTTGGCCAATTCAATTTTGACTAATGAATCCTCCTAATAGATATGTGAGTGATCTAAATTAAAGACCCAGGCCACTACTATACTAAATGCCACTCTGGTGTGTGTAAATATAAAGAAAACTTTAAAAAAGCACTGAGGGGAAAAATAACCACAAACACTCGCTCACCATTTTAACTAAGAATTAAAGAAAATATTAGCAAATTCTTAATGAGTGCTTCTTTTTTTAAAGGCACAAATGCTAAGGTTGAATTACAAGTATAAAACAACGCCAGCAAAAACAGGGATTTCTGAAATAAATATACTTAGAAATGCATGAATACTTGATTGAGATAACTTTTTTGACAGTTATGCTAAAGGCTCCCCCCCCCACCTCCAAAAACCTTTTTTTTTTTTTTTTTTTTGTTAAAAATCACACCGAAAATTCTGCCCAAATGGAGACTGGAACAATGCCTTGAAACAGTGTTAATTGTCACCATGGAAACCAGAAGAATAAGCCATTTTGAAACTGGTATAGAAGGCACACATGGAGCAGCCCGAGCATTTTCCTGCCTCCCTCAATGTTAAAGAACAAGATGCCTTGTCACTGTGAGGTCAGAGAAAGAAAGCATCCTGAAAGGGTTGTAGATGCTCACCATCTAGTAAATAAAAAAATAAAAAATAAGCTGTATGCAGCGAATGCTGTAAGATTCTACCCAGTGAATCTCTGTGAAATAGAAAGATCATCAAAAGATGGCCAGGATTGGGGGATGGCTTCCACCTAAGCAAAACTTCAGGGCTATATTATGTGAACCTTGCCCCCAAAGCTCCCTGGGAATTCTGCTGTTGTAATAAAACTTCAGAAGAGGATAGAAAAAAGGCAGCATGATGGAATTCAAAATAATGCTCTAAAAGCACACAGAGAGATTAAGACATCCATTGTAAGACTTTTGTATGGTGCTTCTGTTGGTTATGCTGAAAAGAGACCAGACATTGCTGAACGGAGAGTGAAGCTTTGGCTACGAGAATCACAAGAATTAAACCAAAGAATTTTCTCAATTATTAGAAGAGGGCTGTCAGATTCTGAGTCATCAGGGTTTAAGTATTCACATCTGACACCATATTTAACTGGATTTCTTGTGAATGTACTGTAGAGTAAAAACAAGGAAAATGAACCAGTTATTGGAATGACAAATTTGAATACATTTCCCTATGTAAATTAATATCTCAAACACCTGTATATCCAGCAGGAGTCCTTCCCCTATATACATGCTATAGAGAAACAGAGAAAATACACTAAGGAAAAAGTAAGCTACATCTCAGTCTATCAACAAGAAAGCATGTGCAAGGAACACACCAAACCACCATACTACTGGCAAAATTATGCACGAAAATATGCAGTTTTGCGCAAAAATGCAGGGATGTGTCTGTCTGTGACTCTCACATTGTGTTTTCTGGCTAGTGTTTGCCCTCCTCATTCGAGGCTTCATGGTGGCCCCTCAGCAAGTCCATGCCTAATGCCATTCAGTGGTGAACAAAGAGTCTTTTGATAAGCAAGTCCAGGGTCCACAGCTCAGCTGCACATGCGGGTGCAGGAATCTGCTAGAGGCCAGTGTCGCCTTTGTAGCAGCTCTTGTGCTGCCCCCCTTTTCAGAAGACCAGTGTCCAGCATCTCGCAATGCATGATGCTTCACATGAGGTCAGTGTCACCAAGACTTCAGGGAGACGCTCAAACTTGGAGAACAGGGTTCAAGATCGAGACAAATAACAGTCGTTATTTCTTGCAAACTCCTTGTGTTTCACCAGTGGAATTTATGGCGAATAATTGCGCAGAGAAATTATAAAGACTCCTACAATTGTCCTTGTAAATTAATAATAGGCTTTCTTGATTGGGATAAATTTGCTGCTGAGCCTTTGGAAAAATTAAAAAGTGCAATGTCATTTAAAATTGCCAGAACTCGCACAGCAAATTACATCTGAGGTTAAGAATTGAGTTTTCCCCCCTTTCTAGCTTATTCCATTTGCATGATCTGGAAATCACATTACACTGGCCATGTATTGTTAATTGGACATAGATTGCATTATCTTTAATATAAATCAAACTACAAATATTAAAATGAATTGCAAATTCCCTAATAGAAGATCATAAAACAATCTTTTTTAAAGTATCTCCCATTAATAATTTAATTCCAATTATATCACTCAGAAAACTTAAGTAGGAGACCTGGCAACTTATTTCCCCA